CATAATACTATCAAGCCTTGTAAAAAGACTATAGATGAGGAAAGACTTGCATTTTCTTTTTAGATTTTACACAGTGTTATATATTTTGAGCTGTGCAAATTTGGACATATCCATATAGGTATTGAGTTATGGATGCAAGAAGTAAAAAAAATGTTTCTTCTGCATTTATGGGGAAAAAAGTAGTTTTGAAACATGCAGTTTATAAGTCTTGATGCATATGCTACCTTAAGACATCATGTTACAGGATGACAGAATCCTGAAAGAAAGAGAATATCTCCATGCTACAGTATGGAGCTCAAGTTTTAATCTTCTTTGGAGGTCTTTGCATGTAGAGTAAACACAAGTAATCTCTAGAATATGCATTGTTTATTCCAGAAGAGCCATTTGGTTCCATTATGTCATTGCTTGCAAGAAGAAAAAGGAAAACTAAAATCTATCATCTTGACCTGTACAAGTTTTATAGTCGAGGAGCTCAACAGCATCAGCTCAGCAGCCAACAGGGGCCAGGGCCTGGCAGCAGCAAACTGGGGAATGTCTCAGCAGGCCTCCTGTGCCAGCGGTGCAGGAGGACACTGCGGTCTGCCTGTGTGCAGTGGGAGAGTGCCACGCCTGGGGACAGAGCCTGAGAGTGCCCCATGTGTGAGGCAGCTTCTGCAGGGGTGGGGCTGACCAAGCCCTTCAGGGAGATCCTCTGAGAATGAAGGGGAGCATGGGCTATTCATTAGTCAGATGTGCTGCTGATCAGCTTCCTCCTGCTTTGAGAGTAGCCACACCTACCAACAAATGAAAGCAGTTTAGGAGACATCTGGCAAGCTGAAAGGTGGCATCACTGCCATTGCAAGCCAAGAATGAGGTCCCATGTGGGTAAAGGGCTGCTGGGGGTGGTGGCTAGGCTGAGCACAGCAGAGGCTGGGAGAATGACATCAGGAGAATGGACATGGAGTACTCTGAGGACAGCCAAACACACAAGCTGGAGATACACGGCAGCACCAACAGGGAAGGACTGTGCCTCTGAGTGGGGTTAAAATTGTGTGTGAACTTCCCTGAGAAAGAGCAGAGCCCATCTCTTCCAGCAGATGGGCAATTCCTAATGACAGCTGAGAGGAAGGAAGCAAGCAGGAAGTATCTCTGCTTCTAAGACTGTGTGGGTGAACCTTTTCAGGCACCCCTCCTGAGTTCTTGGTCATCTGTTTTCTGCTATCTCAGACAGGAGGACTGATCCAACTGAGAATTAAGATTAGCAGGTCAAAACTGAAGAGCACGTACCAGGGACAGGGATGATACAGGCAAGGTTTTCATAATCCAAGGCACAGCACACATAGACCAGTCAAAGAGCCATCTCCTGGACAGGAGCAGGGCCACACAAATGGTGTAGATTCACTCACTGTGGCCATCAAGCATTAGTACTGTGACCTACTGGATACCTCTGCCCTCCCTCTTTTGTGCAGAGCTTCCTAAATTGTCAGTGCCATGCTTTGGTCCTGTCACAACATGTGCCTACATGGTTTACCTCTCCCCCTTATGCCCTTTACCATGATGTCTCTTGTTTTGGATGATTGCTCACAAAAAGGTGTTAATCTGCTTTTCTTGGTTTGTGCTTTTTCTGTCTATGTACCCTCTCCTCAACACAATTCTCCCCATTGTATAAAGACATATTATCTCAATGTGAACTGCGGTATAAACAATAGAAAGGGCAAAGCTACCAAAAGAGAGTTAGAGATGTCAAAGGAAGGTTTGAGGAATACCTTAAATAGAAGGAATATGCGGTCCTTTAACACTTAATATAGTCTCAAGATTATGAGAACTACAGAGATTTGGCTGAATAATTTAAGACTGAATTATTTGTGTAGAAGGGTAAGGTGTTCAGAAAAAATTGTCAGGAAAATAGAACTGTCAGGAAAAAAAGTGAAATGTTGATGGCGATGCATGTATTTATTTTGAGGTGCGGGGTACAAGAAATAGCAATGATATCAATGTTGGTAATTATACCATGATGAGAATCCACAGTCCTCACAAGGGAAAAGAGGAAAAAGTAGAAAAATTGCAGTGAACTTGGAAGAAGCAGACTTTTATAAAACAAGATTATTGATAAGAAGAATTTCATAAGAAATAAACCAAAGAAAAGCATTAGCAGGAATGACTAGGTCTCTCTAGAGACCTAGTCATGGAGCGAATGGCATGTGTCCCAAAGCAAAAGTAGCCCTAGGAAGGTTAGTAAAATTAAACTAAATCAGAGCTCATCAGTGTTCTCAGTCTCACAAAGAAGCACAGTTATAAGTAGGTTACACTACTGAGTACATAGAGTAGGCAAATACAGACAAAACCATAATTATGTCAGTGCAACTATCAGTGCAATGAAGATAACATTAAAATCCATTGTAAGTGCATTGGTCAGAGGTACATTGTTTGGGAGATACTTTCTGCAGGGACCTTTCAACCTTTCCTCAGCAGCGTTGAAAAGTCTCATCTGGGAGAATATGGGGACACAGGTAATCAGCAAGGGTGGTGTGACTGAGCAATGTACAGAGGGCATCCATATGAATGAGTAGATGCTGAAAGTCCCACAGTGCTTTAGCTATAGAAACTAAGACTGGTCATTATTTGCATTTTTTAGTCAGGGAGGTTGCAGGTATAGTTCATTATGCTGCATGAGAAGTGAAGGAACTAGGTCAATAGAAACTTAAATTTGTTTTCAGCATTACTTTTCTATGCTTCTTTTTCCTCCAGTGGTATTATCTCATGTTGACACACATTAATTATATTGTGAAATTATCATACCCTAATAGATCCATAAAATAAATATTTTCTAAAGAAACAGAAAGGGAAAGAAGCTGAGGTCAGGCAGGTCCAGCTAGTTTGGGAAGTGGAAGGGGTACATGGAGATATATCAGCTGAGTTGAAACCAGGAGTAAAAGTAAAAAGACAAAAAGAGAAAATGAAAAAGGAGCAAGGGAGAAATGACAAAGTTGATAAATGGAAAGGGTGAAAAGGATGTGACTAATGATATGAGAAGAGTTGTTTCTGGAAAAACTGACTCGTTGAACAATGATTCACACAATAAACACCTGGACATTTGCCTTTTTTTGTTGGATTTACTCAGAGAAACAGCTGGCCCAAGGACCCAGTCTCACTGCTGAGTTTCTTCTTGTGATTTTATCTGCGGCACCATGTTATGACTGTTGTAAAGCTTTAAGTGCCTCTGGACTTTGTAATGCATTTGACATGGGAGACTTTTTTTTCTCCTGTGCAGTTGCAACCTGTAAGCAGTTGCTCTGTGCCTGGGAAACTTTTTCAGCCACAGGAAGATACTAGGTGTGTCAGTCTCACTTCTGACTTTAAACAATGGGGACATTCAATTAAGAATACTGGGTACCTTATGTCTGTGTATTTGTACTTCAAGTAATACGCTGCACTTCCGAGTCATTGAACTTCCAAGCAGAGACACTAGCACTTGAAAGACAAATGCTTGACTTGTTTATAGGGATTGCACTTCTGACATCAAGACTTGAGTTACTCTGCACTTGTCATGTGAAGGAGGACTAAAAATGTCAATAGGAATTTGTGGATGTGAATTTGGTTCTGCCACATGAAGTCTCGCTGTTTTAAAATTAGTACTTCTTGTTGAATGTATTGCTCATTCATATCCAACTGGTACACAGTTAATCTGCATCTAGGTCACTTAAAATCAACATATTTCCAAGAAAGTTGATTTCCCTCTCCTTATTATATTTATTTAGAAATCAACAGCAGTGAGTTTTAATGCTTTATTCAAAACTGGTTTTGAGCTGTGCTCTAAAGATAACTCACTGCTAGCAGACAGCTTTCAGAAAGTCTGAGTCATTCTGAGTGCATGAGTGAATGGAGAACACTTGTGTTTTAAAGCATGCTGAAAGCATAGCCTGGAGGTCTTTTCCTGGAGAAACAAACACTGATTTCGAGGGAAAAGTGTGATCTGAAATACAAATAGAAGGCCTAACTTTTCCCAGAAGCATACACTTTAGAGCTGCAATCAATTCTAAAAGCTTCTTTCTTTAAATACATAATTCAGAAAACAGTGTACTGCACAAATAATTTAACAGTGTTCAAGAGCAATCTGACAGAAGAAATTCAAAGCAGAAGTTACAACCTGGATGAAAAGTAACATTTCTCAAGACAATAAAATAAGCCTGTCCAAAACTTCTGAAATAAGCATTATATTAAAAAGTGAGACACAAAAAGCATAACATTTTAAGAACTGCAATTAAAAAAAAAAACCTTAATTTTTTTTTTTAAATATTTTTTATTTATTATTTGTTTTACCATTGTCCTTTACAGCCCAATTGATTTCAGTTCCCGTTACTGCAGGTGTTGTAATGCAGAGACTAGTGGGGACTAGTTCCCTTGAAAGGCTGCAAACATAAAACAGATGTGAAAGATGTCACAAAAGGGAAAGGAATGATTGCATCCATTATGAGATAAGTATCTGGAAAAGGGCAGACAGACTGATTTGCCCAAAGTTACCCAAAGTAAATTTTTAGCAGAGCTTAGACAGAATTTGAAATTTCCAATATGAGGACTGATAAATTATTTTCACAACTTGGCTGGGTCCTTCCCATGAAAGGATCTGCTGTGAAAACAAGCCACCTTTATGCCCAAATTCTTGTCTTCTGAATGTGAATTATTCCTGTGACTAGGCAAGTAGCAAACATGCTCTCCACCCAAGGCCGATGCCCTCTCCTCTCCACCTGCTCTCCTACAGAAAGGCTGTCTTTCCCCTGTGGCTCCAACCCACGCCCTGCATGTTCTTTTCTCACAACCTGACTGGAAAAAATTAAGTCAGAAAGAAAATCACAAAGGATGTAAAAATATTGAAGGCTGTGAAGTACCTTGGAGCTACCTTGCTTCCTTACATGGCTGCTGTTTCATACCACACCTAGTCATTAGAATCAATAATTGTCCTGCAGTTAATGTTTGAGCTGCTGAATCTCCGAGGGCAATTCTGAGGAACTATAAACTGGATAAGCACAGACAGACATCACCACCAACCTGTGCAAAGGTGATTCCCACAGCTGAAAGAAAGAAGCATTTTTAGAGCAAAAAAAGCTTTTCGTGTTACAGGTAAGGGATGATCCAGCTGACATTTCACAGAAAGATTTTAAAAGCTGAAGCAGGGGTTTTGCTAAAGGATTTTCAGGCAGTGTTGGGAACTCAGCTGTCCCTGTAAAATGGATGACTGCTGTGCTAAGGCTTAGTCTGGTTTATATTTGATTTGGATCAATTTCCTCTGTTTTCTCTGTGCTGAATTTGAACATCTGAAATCAATCAACTAAAGAAAATAATATTTTTTTCCATGGAACCAAATACTTGTGATTGTTACTGATCTTTAATCTCCGGGAATATTCTTTGTTCTCTGAGTGTTTATTATTGAAAGTCACTGGAATATTTGTATGATGGTTATCCTAGAGATTTCTCTTCAGTCATGGGAAACATGAGGGATTATTAGGGATATAGCACTGAGATGAAGCTAAGAAATGAAGGAGAAAATATGGCTCTGATCCTCAACCCAGATCTCAAGCTGCTTTTATTTAAGCTGATGCTATTCTAATCCTGAAACTGCCTGTTACTGAAAACTTTTATACGGAACTCTATTCTGAGTGACAGAGGAATATGGATTTTGGGGTTTCGGTCCTTGGCTGTGAGATAGATCATGAGACTTGGTAATAGTTTCCACCCAAAAATAAATGTTCAAGGACTGGTGCAATAGGCACCATAAATGACATAAGGAAATTATGTTTATGTTCTATGAGAAGGGAACATCAAATTGCAAAACATGCAAACTGTGAAATGGCTGAATTTCCACTGCTGCATTTGGTGGTTGGATCTGGACAGGAGAACCTGGCCATGACACAGCCACATTTAGCAATTAATTTTCCAGCATTTTCTGTCCCCAAAAATAAGGTGGGATATTTCCCCTGAAACTTTTCCTCTCCCAGTAGGTCTTGCTCCTTCTTTTTCCCTGAATCCAGACCATGGTACCCCAGACCACCCCATATGGTTTTTCCTCCCTTTTGATGGCCTCTCCCAGGACTTTTAGCTCCCTGGTGTTCCTCCACCACTGCTGGGCAAAGGGGCACCTCCAGCCATGCCTCCTCCAGAGGGGCAGACAAAACCCTGCAGGGAACCCTTGGGCACAAACTGCAGCCTTACAGGATGGAGAGGGAAAACCTTGGGCACTTTGTACCTTCTGCCACAAATTAATAAGGAATTAGTTTTTTTGAAGTTCCCATATGGCTACTAAGTGCAGCAGGAACAGGTCTATGTATTCAGAAGAGAGTGCCAGGAAGGGGAGGGGAGAGGCTGTATAGACAGAGGAACTGAAAGAATTTTCATTGACTATATAACTGGAATATCAGCAACAGTTTTGGTTTGAAGTGTCCTTCCAGGAGGTTCAAAGTGTCTTGTCCTTCTCTCTCCCTGCCTGTGCCATCTCCTCTGGCTTCAAGAGATCTGTGAAGGACCCACTAAGGCAGCATCCCAGCCAAGCATCGATAGGGAGTTCAGTTTCAGCCATTGTCTCCTGACAAATTTAATGATTTTCCTGATCACTTCTGGTTTCAAAAGTGTGTCATATTATTTTCTTCCAGTACCCATAAAGTTATCTCCAGCCCAAGGAGAGCCCAGTATTTCAAAGGGTGTAATTGCACACACAGTGTAACAGATTGGGATTTGGAAGATAAACTCCTGCGGCATGTCCTAGAATGAGTGCTCAAGAGAACAGTAGTGTGGGTAGCAGTTTCTGTACTTACAGATCCCCTTTTTGTTCAGTCATTGAGGAAAGAAAAGAAGGGGGGCAATGGTGTGGTGGGAAGCACAAGCAGGAAGCCATCTGGAGGGAGCTGTGCCTCCTCACTGTTTTCTCCCTATTGGAGGCCTCCTTGGGACAGATCTGTGGACAGATTCCCGTAGGTGTGAGCCATATAACATGAAGCACCACTGAGATGGCAGCACAATACACCAGCTTCATCTCCTTCCAGAACTGGCCTGGTCCTCACTGTTAAAATCCAGAGGCAGTGAGGAAGCAGGATAACATTTTGAGAAAGACATCTATTTTTCAGGAGGATGTAATATAAACTCTGGAAGTGTGTGCTCAGCATTTCTTTGAAGTTTGAGGCAAAGAGAGCTCCTTGGACTTGGAAACCTTTTGTTTCCAGTAGCCACATTGTTTTAGGGGGTGCAGATGCCTTAGGCTTCCTTTGCCTCTGCAATCTGCAGGAAACAGTCGGATTTTTGAAATCAGAAGACAGACATCTCAGGATGGTCTCTGCAAGACTTTTGTCCTGTAATTAATAGCATTTCCTGTGAACATCTCATTGCTTTCAGTAAAGCAGAAATGAAAATGGGTTTGTGGTACAGGGTCATTGTAACAATGTGGTTGCACAACTTTTTTATGCCAGGTTCAATCTTTGAGAGCTCTTTGGCGATCTCACATGTTGCATCTCTTGCATCAGGCACAACCTGATGGGCACAGCCTTCCTTGGGAAGGCTTCCAGGGGTTGCAGCTGCTCCTTCAGGACTGACTCCTCAGCTCTCTCCCTGCAGCTTCAGGAAAACTCAGCTGTTGCCTTGGTGTGCAGATAGACTGGGCCGGCTCTATGGGGCTAAAGTGACTGTCATCTCTTTGCAGGAGCTGAAGCAAAGCATATTCCAGTATGCTTAAGCTGTGTGGACTTCAATTTCTGCTTCTCATTCATTTGGTGAGTTATAGGTTTTCCTTTGTTTATCTGTGAGCAAAGGTTGCCTACAAGCCTCTGAGCTCTAATCCATGGGGTGTGCCAGCCCACAGCCAGGCAGGCCCTGGTGCCAGCAGAGTGGCTGAAACTCTGGGTGCGTCCCAGCACATGCGTGTGACCCCTCTGCAAGTTAAGACGTCTCAGTCATTAGGGAAAAAAAACTTCAAAAAGCCTAGAAGGCACCAATTTACTTGGTTTCCCTCCTCTACTTCCTCTTTAGATATCAGTTTCCAGTAAGTGAATTTTGTACTAGAAAAGATTTAAGATACTGCAACAAATCACCAAAGAGTGAAAACATCAGTATCATGAGTTCTGCATTATAATCCATACATGTGCTGTCATATTAAATGTATTCTAAGACACATAATGGCTCATAGTTTAAACTGTGCATATTACTTATGTATCCTCATTATTTGATTCCTGTGACTCCCTTTTCAGAGGATTTTCTGGAACTGAAATGTATTGATTATGGTCTTTATGAACCTTATGTATTAAATGCAATAGATTTACTGATGTTTGTAAAGGCTACGGCAGTGATGACTTCTACTTCACAATTGAAATTAACAGAAAAGTTTGGAAAAATGTGTCAAATTCAAGTTCAGTAAAAAATGCCTCAGAATATGGAGACCTTGGCTGGTGCCACAGTGAGCTCCTCCTTTTCTTTTCCTATTTCACAAGCAGCTGCTTGTGGCAGTGCTGCCACCCCATGAAGCCACTCTACAAGCATTATAGCCATCTTTAGAAGATATACCAATGGATATGGACCAAGAGGTAAAGCCTCTTTGCCCTTCAAGCTTCTGAATAGTGATTCATGCGGTAGAAATATGTTTAGAAATATTTATGGTCCACATAAAGTAATTTTAAATGATAGACGTGATATCGCTTACTTGTTTCACAGTCTGCACTTTGAACTTGATGCTATAAAACCCTGTTGGTTTTTATAGCATCAGCCTTTGTTCCTCCATGGCAGGAAACATGATAAAGCAAAATCTATCCATAAAATGGCCTCAGGAAAAGCCTCCAGGAGCCAGGCTGTTCCAACCTGTGTCACATATGAATAGATGAAGCAGGTCAGATTCAGGGTCCTGATATCTGGTCCCTGGTGAGGCCAGCAGTCAGCATTTTGCAAAAAATATTAAAAGGTAGCTGCAAAGCGCATTTTCCTGGATGCATAACTATCAGATTGCATTTGTTGCAGTTCTGCTGACACTAGTGTTCTCTAGCATCCCTCCCTTTCCTTCTCCAGCTCTCTGCTTTTTCTTTATTCAAAAGGAGTCACAAAGCCTTGTAGGTGAGCGGGAGAGTATCTCTGGCTATTATTAAGAGCAATATAGAATTATTGAAACACTCCTTGTGACAGACACACACACACAGACACACACACAGAGCAGTGCTTTAGGGTGAATTGTGCTGAACTTAGCTATGTTTTTGTCATAGGCTGAATTAAGCTTTCCCTTGGTAATATGCAGACTGTGCTTTTCTGTGAGAAATTGAATAGCTGTCCCAGCAGGAATAGGATCACATCCAGAGGAAAAGTCATGCAGCAGAGAGAGAACACACACTCAACTCTGTGGTGTCATGGACAGGGTGGCAATGGCACTCTAAATCTGTAAAGCAAAATAAATTAATTTTTACTATTGAAGAAAATAAACTTTACCTGTGCAGCCAAGTAGTGGAAGCTTTATTCTGACAGGCAGATCCTCAGTGTTGTCAAGGTGGGTGGTGAAGACAGGGAATTTGGGGAATCTTGGTCTTGCCTTTGAAGAAGCAGGTTGATTATCTGAACCACAGTGTGAACCATTGTGTGCAAGGCCTGCCCTGAGAGGCTCATTTTTGCTTTGGTGTTTTTTTTTTTTTGGTTGGTTTTTTGGTTTTTTGGTGTGGTTTTTTTTTTGTTTTTGTTTTTGTTTTTTTGGTTTGTTCATTTGTTTGTAAGCAAGAACAGTCCTGAAATGTTAGGGCAGGAATGTAGGAATGTGGAGGTGTTTGGGCACTGAGGAGTGTGTGATTATAAAATTCATAAAAAATTTGGCAGGAAAAAACATGATGTTAAGACACTGTTAGCCATTAGGAAGAAAACAGAGGCTGAGACAGATTTGTATGACATTTTTGCCACCAGGTAAAAGGCAAATATCTGAAAGACACGTTTGTTCTCTCTGTGGTTTGCATTCACAAGCAATTGATGTGAAGGCACAGGGCTCAAGTGGCTTGCCCAGATGGCTGTGGCACTGACAGGGGTGTGTGCTGTAGGGACCCAGGGAGGGCCACCTCATTCCCATAAGAAAGAGATTTGATTTACTGGGGAAATTACTGGGGTGCATCCACAGCTCCTCCTGATCCCCAGGTGTGATGTTCAGTTTCCAGACATGCTTGTTTTCACAACACTTTGCGCCTCTTGGATGGGTCATGGATGGTCCTGCTGGGGACACAGAGGAGATCCAGCAATAATTTTATGAATTCCCTTTTGCCTTTAGTCTACATTCATCTATTTTCTTCTTCTGTTTTCTCTTTAAGGTAGATCCAATCTCATTTAATTATGTAGTGGTCAGAAAAGGGCAGGGCACAAGCCTTTGTTCTCTAATTAATTAATAAATCACACTGCTTTTAAAAATTACGTACACTGAAGACCCTGGAGATGTTCAGTGCAAACCTGGAAGAGTCTCTGACATTATACTATAGCAAAAGAGCTCACAGGAGGCTCAGGGGTGGGGAGCTGCTGTTTGTGTGTGGTGGCAGCAGACATCCCTCAGCTGCTTTCCTCCATCCCTCTCTCTCCCTCTCTCTCTCCCAGGCTATATGGCTTAATCTGGAGGGCCTGAGTGTAACTGGACCTCTGAAGGACATGGATTTCTCTGTTCAAGAAGGAGGGGGTCCACGCATCCTTCACCAGGTAATCAAGTGTCTCGTGTTATCCACTCTGGTCAAGAACCCCATAGCTTGCACACAGAGACCACATATGAAGTGTTGTTTCTGTGCTGGTGGGACGAACAGTCCCCCAAGAGGATCCAAATTTATTTTTTAATTCCTCTCTCTGGGAGTTCAAGAGTCTACATGCAAAGAGCAGGAGACAACCCCCTCTCAAACACATTTTTAAGAGGATATCCTAAGACAGGGATTAATAAAATCAACATTCCTGGAGAATTTCTTTCCATGTAACTTGTGTCATCATTTTCCTTTGACTCTGAGATTTTCCTCCCAAAGCCATAACCACAGAAGGACAGATCCAGCTCCCAGGCAAATGGAGGATGTGTGTCATTTTTTTCCATTCCCATGCTCAGACAAAGCCTGTCCTAAGCAGACATTTGCTTTGGAAACAAACTGCAGATGGGCTTTCTTGCAGCATTCAGGAAATTATGTGAAAACTCCTCTGCTGAGCATCAGAAAAAAACAGACTTGTTTGAGCAGACTCTTGGAATATCATTCTCCCAGCCGAACACACTGTTTGCAATAGATTTTAAAAGTCATGAAAGTATGAAATTATTTTTATTATGGTGAAAATGCTGAAAAAATGATGATTTTTCCCTCTGGTTTTGTTATGCTTTGGTTTGTTTTTTTTTTTCATTGTAGTTCAAACTTGAGTCACCTGCTGTGAGTTTTAGAACGTCTGGTGAAAAAGCTGGAATTATTGACATTGAGCCGAGGACAGGCATCCTGTATATCAATGGGTCTCTGGACTGGGAGACCAAAAAAGTGCACAAGCTGCAGGTAAAAGCTCAATGAAAAATAGGAAGGGAGAAGTATGTACATTTATCCTTTTTGGGTATACCTGATAGTAAGAGAAATCTATTGAAATTTTGAATCCTTTATTTTGCCTATGTTTACAGGCCGGCTTTTCATTTTTAATATCAAGATTTGCTGGAAGACATACGGTTTTGTAGCTCTCAAAGATTGAACAGGAGAATTCTCCTTAGCAGAGGAAGGCTATATTCAGGAAAAAAAAAATTGTGATGCCAACACCAACCCTTTAACTCTCCTAATGTGAGGGGAAATACTTGACTGGAAATAAAATCCAGCCTCATGAATGAGCTCCTCTTTTTATCCCTGAAGGCTGATAGGGTGAATTCCATGTCTGGCATGGAAAAATGAACTATTGTAATAATTTAGAAATCTTATAATATACATGGTGACAAACTGAGATTAGCTCAGTTGGTTAAAGCATGGCACTAATAATGCCAAGGTTTGATACGTGTGTGGGCCATTCACTTCAGGGTTGGACTTGATGATGCTTGTGGGTCACCTCCAACTCAGAATAGTCTGTGACTCTGTGAAACAGTGTGAGTGAAAGACATTTAGGCAGAGAGGCACAGGTCTAACCTCTGTCAGATAACAGCAGAAAGCTGTTTGGAAGATGTTGGACTCTAAGAGAGGAAAAAGCTTTTTGTGCTTTATACTTTTTATGCTTTTGTGCTGCTATTATACCCTTTTCAGGAGGATCTCACTAGTGTAAACACTATTGAGAATGGAGCAGTGGATGGGCAGTCTATGGGTCTCAGTATAGCCTTGTCCTCTTAACCCACGTCAAAAACGGTGTTGTCTTTTTTTGAGGCACTAGCAGCTGAGGATATGATCATGAGAGGATCAGTATCTGAACAGACAAAGTATATGATGATTTTTTTAGCCAGCCTTAGCAGTCTTTCTAAAGCCTAGCACTTCAGGTTTCATGGTTTCACATTCAGCTCTAAAGCTGAGATTGGAATTAGAGAGGACAATTTCCTAGCCCCAGAAGTTAATAACCCTAAGCATGTGAATCATTTATAGACAAGAAGTGATGACAGAATGAAAAAGTTATTCTTGGTTAGGCATAAATAATCATTATTTTATCTGTTATGTGCAAACAAAATTAAGTGTGACAGATATATACTTGGTGATTTAAAGTTAAAGAAGGCTGGAAAATAAGTCAAATTGTGTGAAAAAAAGTCATTAGAATTAAGAATTAATTTTTTCCTTTACTAACCCTTCTATCAGACTATTTTTCTGATTTATATTTATAATAGCAATTAGTTATAAATGCTATATCATGTTGGATTTTCCCCTTGTTTGCTAGAAAGTATTTATTGGTGTTTAAAGAAAAACACCAATGCATTCTAAGCTGTGCAAAAATACAAGTAGTCTGCTGAGCCTGGAAGTGGGAAATTGTCCTCTGAAAGGTGTCATCAGAAGCAGAAATGGGTTGTTTTGTTGGCATTATATACTGTGACAAATTTTTGTCAGGGAGCTACAGTGGCAAATTTGTCCTTGTATGTGTAGTTACCCAGTGGTGGCTCTCACCAGATTTGCCTGACAGTAAGAGTGACCTGGCATCTGACATACTGATAGTAATTTATGCCTCTAACTTATCTGCATGAAAATATTTACTTGCTGCTCCTTTTTTCAAATCAGGTGGAAAGTCTGGATGAGAGTGGAAAGAGAGTTAAAGGTCCATATGCTGTTACAATATATGTGGAGGATATCAATGACAACCCACCAGAATTTAACCAGACAAAGTACTATGGAGTAGTGAGGCAGAACTCTCGTCCAGGTAACTGCCACTGTAATTAAATATTATCATTAATAGGAAGGTAGATAAATTAAGCAGGAAGGTAAAGTGGTTGCTATACAAGCTGGAAAAAGATCAATTTTTCTTCCCACAGGCCTGTACAAAATAAAGATGAAAGCCTCTATAATATAATGAAATGGCAAAGAGGTGACCACTATGTGGTGTGAAGTGATGAGTGCCATCAAAAATATTTTTATTACTTATTCTTTGCAAGTATCACTTAACAGATTGCTGCTCTCTCCATTGCTCTGGGAAAAAAACCCAAAAAACAACAACAAAAAAACTTATTCTAGAAGAGGTTTAAAACGTAAAGGCTACCAAAGACTATACAGAAAGAGAATGCTAAAGCTGAGTCTTTACGTATCAGTGAAAGAAAGTGCCAGGGTAGATATGGGGTATGTGTTTGCCATGAATAATGCTACTCAGAACACGGGCTAAACCTTAACATTTAGAAGAGAGTCTTAGAGTATGAATTGCAGTGATCCAGTCCAAAAGTCGTGCAAGTAGGTTGAGACTTACATCTTGAAAATAAACCAAAGGACTCATACAGTGTTATTGCTGTGGCTATGGACTCAAGAAGAAACTTTTGCTAAACAATATGCATATAAACCTCCATGGGGTCAGAAAATTATTCTGAACCATATTACTCTATTCTTCAGTGCATCCAAGTCAAAAAGATTTTGAATGCTGCACTAGTGCACAAAAGGTAAAAGTTGACTTACATTACTGAGTATTTTCATATTTTTTTCACTGTATGATTGTTCTTTTATTGTATCCATGTTGCAAGTCATGCACCACTTTTATCAAGGTGCTTTGGGTTCAACTGATTTGTGTAAGAGCAGCAAAGTGGCCTTAAGGAGAGATCCCAGTGAGGTGAATTCTGGGTTCAGGCACTCACGTGTGATAGATAGCTCTCTGCTGATCTAACTGTCACCTTCTTCATCAACTGGTCACCACACCTATTGTGATCTTACTAAGCAGAGCTGGTGGAGGGTTGACCTGTGGGATGGCATACAGCAGTGTAACCTCTGCACATGACTTCGCATGAAAGATGCATTATGGAACAATGGTAGCTCCCCGTAAGTTGCTTTCCTGGTTTGAGAGCTCTGCTCGAATGGATTTTGTATTAAGGTTCAGTCTCTTCTCTTACCACTGTTTCTTCTCCAATCCAAACAGGCAAGCCCTTCATGTATGTCCATGCCACTGACCGTGATGATCCTACAACTCTCCATGCACAACTGTCTTACAGCATTCTCCATCATTTTCCCAACCCTTATGAAGAAATGCTTTTCCAGATTGATAATGCAACTGGAGCAATCTCACCAAGCAGGAAGGGTACGTAAAAAGATTCTTGTTTGCAAAGAGCAAGTATGAGTTTGGGGATATGTATAGGAACAAAACAACAACAAGAGTCTGATGCTAAATTCTAAATAAATATAGTCAGTGGGACACACTCCACTAAAGTCCTTGTTTTGGGGAACTTGTTTTTCATCCCATCAAATTCAAGACAAGCAATCAGAAATAGAGATTGAGATCTAAAAGTACACTGAGAAGAGAGATAGATCCTCTGGCCTTCAGGACTACAGTGTGTCATATCTTGGAATTAATTCTCTGCCATGAAATCTAGAAACCCAAAAACAATAACATGAAAAAGGCAGAGAAAACTCAGCTGGACATGTGATCCTAACTAAATTGCAATGATTTAGAAACACCCATCTATTCTTCTGGGCTGAAAAGTGCCTAACTGGGGCGAGGGCTATTCAGTGATGCCTCTGCACAAAATGAGACCACAGCACAGAGGCCTCATATTATTCCATTCACATGATGCTATGCTGCATTGTTCAGAGAACCCAGAGGAAGTGGCTTGCTGAGGTTTGTCCCAAAGGATTATCTAAGGAGTAAGTCTGAAGCAGTTAAAGAATCATAGTGTATGTAGAAGACAACGGGCAGATTAACAGCCCCCACAGCCTCTGTGTCATTTCTCCTGACTCTTTGCTCTGTCTCTAGGCTCTTATTACTTGGATCCTCAAAAGCAGGACACCTTCATACTTGTTGTCTCCGTGAAGGATATGGCAGGGACGACAACAAATGCTTTCACCAGCAGTGTCGATGTGATCATCACTGTGAAGGAGAGCCTGTGGAAAGCTCCCCCCACCATTCACATCAAAGAAAACTCAACCCAGGTCCATCCTGTCAACATCAGCAAGGTAGGGTCTTTGACCACACTCCTTGAACTTCTCCTTGTATCACACAATTGTTTCCTCACAACTAACTGTGAAAGTGTCCCCACTGCATCCAAAGTTCTTCAGAAGGACTTTGACACCTTCCATCTATTTTTTTCATATGGCATCCTTTGGAAATGATTGTTAGTGGATGTCTCATTGATTTTTTGCTAGCACAAAAGTTAATAGTGTGAATGTGACTGACATACAGTCAATACAAACACTTGAGTGTCTGAACTTTGCCTTTCAGTTTGGGACCAAAATCCAGTCATGGGTCCTCCAGGCTTTGAGCAAATCAAGAGTTTTTTGGAGCTTATTTTGGGGTTAGCTTCTTCCACCTGCAAAAGAGCAGGGCAGGGGACCAGCTCCCCAACAGCCCTGCTGTGAGCAGTCCCTCACACTCAGGGATGCCTGCTGTGATCAGTTTTGTATCATGCAGCACAACTGTTACATCAAAAGTACTTTGAAAGGTCTGAAATATCCTCCTTCATGTCCTGCATTCCCAATATTCCTCTTTTCACAGTTCAAGCACAAAATATTTTGCTGATAACTACAGGCCAATAGCAGTGTATACATCAGTACATATTAACTAACAGGCCAACAGCCTTTCAGAAATATTTGACTTTGAAAAATGCCTTCGCAATGACATCCCCAATGCTGTCATCCCTTGAACATGGCAGGTTTCCATGGATCCTGTTCACAAGAGTAATTGGCTTGGTGATATTCTCACTAGCCTCAGTGACAGCCCAAGGAAATCCAGAATGAAAACAGTTGGAAGGAAGACTAACCTGAAAGGATGCACCCATTCTGGGGTCTCTTGTATATAAATTTCATGTGGTAGCCAATGGCATGTTGATTCTGCCTAGGGGAAAATGAAATGCAGTTTCTGCTATATAGAACATAAATATTAATTTAATATCCATTAACATAGCAGTCTGTGCATTTCATTCCATTGTAAATGTGTGGCACCCCAGAAAAGAGCCTTCCTCATAAGCTTTGATGAATGTAAAGAGTGTGCATGCACCTATTTACAGATAGGTACCAGGTATTTGTTTTCACAGAATCACAGAATCATAGAATACACTGTATTGAAAGAGAGCCATCAGGATCATTGTCCCTGTGCAGGACACCCCAAGAATCACACCATGTGCCTGAGAGCATTGTCCAAATTCTTCATGAACTAATGAAGGCTTGGTACTGTGACCACTTCCCTGGGGATCCTGTTCCAGTGCCCAGCAACCCTCTGGGTGAAAAACCTTTTCTTGATATCTAACACAGACCTCCCCCAACTGAGCTTCCTGAAGTCCTGCCCCTGGTCAAGAAAGTGAAGAGATCAGTTCCACCCCTCTGCCTCCCCTCACGAGAATGTCAACGTGTCCCCTCAGTCTCCTCCAGGCTGAACAAATCAAGTGTCCTCAACTGTTCCTACTAAGGCTTCCCCTCCAAACCCTTCACCATCCTTGTGGCCCTCCTTTGGACACTCTCTAATAGTTTAATGTCTTTTTTATATTGTTGTGCCCAAAACTGCACACAGCACTCGAGGTGAGGCCTCCCCCAGTGCAGAGCAGAGCAGGACAATCCCTCCCTTGCCTGGCTGGTGATGTTGTTCCCCCCAGGAAAGGGTTGGCCCTCCTGGCTGCCAGGACACTGCTGGCAGGAATAGAGAGTGTTAGGAGAGGAAATAATTAGTATCAACATATTAAATGCAAATAATGCTTTTTTTTTTCCATAATCACTATTTATCTCCATATCATAAATCCTTTTATTAAAAGGTATGTGTTTTATCCTAACTGAACAGATGGAAAAAAGTGGTAAAGTGGCTTCACCACACAATTCAGAGGGCAGAGGTGGATTATCAGTCTGATTTTCTGCAGTTCATCCTAAGAGCCCACCAAACTGTTAATATTCTGGTTTATGAAGCTAATAGGAATGGCTGGTTTATAAAGCTAATAGGAATGCAATTGTTTCTGTTTGTGGTCCAGAAATAATCCCTATTCAATCTCACTCTACACTTCTGACTTCCTATCCTAACTAGTTTTTTTTGTTTGTTTTGTTTTAGTTGGTTTTTTTTTTTTTTTTTTTTTTTTTTTTTTTTTTTTTTTTTTTTTTTTTTTTTTTTTAGGTGCAGTCAAACGAACCAGGTGTAATTTATGGCATTTTTGAAAAAGAAAAGCTGCCAAGGCTCCCATTTTCCATCAGTGAGGATGGTGATATTTATGTGACCCAACCATTGGACAGGGAAGAAAGGGATACTGTAAGTAAACACAAAACTTCACTGATGGCAGAGAGCACAGCAAGAAGCTGATTATTGGTGTGGGAGTAAATATGAGAAAACTCAACATAAAGGAAAGGGGATGGGAAGGGGAGAATAGATAAAAGTTTTGTTTCTTGTCACTTCTGTTTGGAAATGATGTGATATATGTGAAAGTTCATCCACCTATTATACTGTAAACAGGCTTCAGGTTCTTACCCTAGAGTGGGTCTGGCAGTAGCCCACAGCATATGTACCATGTACAGCATGGACCAGCTAATGCAGGGTTGCAGGTGCACAAGTAAGAGATAAAGGAGAGTAAAGGAGATCTGGAGGTTTCAGAACTACTTCAGACCTTGGGGACCACAGATTTTAAAATCCTTTGAGAACTCAGGCCTCAGAAGCTAAGGGGTGATGGAAGAGTTCTGGTTTAAACAGAGAGAAAATACTGAGCAAACTCATGAGAGGATATTTCATATTCCCGTAGTTACATACTAAAATGCAAAATATTGTCACAGTGGACATTCAAACCATCTAATTGTTATATCCTTGTTGCAGTATACATTCTTTGTGGTGTCAAAAGATAACACGGGAGAACTAGTGGACAAGCCTTTGCAAATTCACGTTATTGTGGAAGACATCAATGACAATCCCCCTGTCTGTCAGCAGGACCTCACCATAATTGAAGTTCAAGAAAATGAAATAGGAGGTAAGAAAAGAACTGTTAATTTATACACCTCATTGTAGTCCTGTTGTTCCCAGCTGATGTTCCCCCCACCCTGCACAGCCCCTCAAAATATCCTAGGCTAGCTCAGAGGTAAGCAGGCTGTGGGGGGAGGAATATCAGGAGATGGCAAAGATTTCCAAAAGAGGCTCTTACTCCAATGTATGTTGGTTCATCTCTCTTTATTCTGTGATGTCCATGTGGAGAGCGGGGCAAAAGAGAACAAACAGGAAATGTCAGGGGTCTATATAGACTTTGGACAGGGTGGGCTTCCCTGGCTCTCCGCCAACCCCCTTGGGGCAGGAAGGAAGGGTCTGGGGATATCTTGATCAGAGTCACAGGGTCCTGGGGAAGGAGAAATAGAGTGCCCATGAGCTCACTGTAACATCCAGCTATATGTGAATGAAACTAGAAATTCTGATCCCAAAAGATTAAAACGTGGCTGTCTCAGGGAAATATTTTCCTATGCAAAGAGCCCTCCTGTTTTTCCTTCAATAATTCTTGTGGAAAGGATTTCAAGAACCTGGGAAAGACAGGCTCAAAACATCTACTTTAAAAGTGCTGTTTTATTTAAAACATAAAACTGCGTTTTCCCACAACCACAGATTTGGATAACTGCTTAGACTATGTAAAGAAAAACACCTCTTCTATTATCAATACAAGAAATTCTGTTCTTAAAGTGGTATAAGCCCATTTTCCCTCATCCGGCTGCAACTTCAGCATAATGCTTTTGACTTCAATGGACCATTACCAAAATCTGTCCAAAGTTTTGACATCAGTTATTTGGTTTCAGGACTGAAGAGTCTGCTGTTACAGTCTTTTGGACTGCCCTGACCCCAAACCAGTATGTTGAAATGTTAAAGCAAAAACTCCCTGAAGTGAAAAGATTGCATGTCCATTGAAGTGTTTTCCATACAGCTTTATGTTTATTGACCCTCTACTCTTTGCACTGGTATCACTGTTGTCACTGTGTATTTCTGTGGAGAAATGGGACTACTGCATTCTGTCTGACTCCCATCTCTGCTCTGCTACAGGAAGTAATATTGGCACTGTGATTGCTACCGACATGGATAAGAAGGATACCCTTAATTCTCGTCTGCATTTCCAGATCCAAAGTCAGGAACCTGAATTTCCCTTAAAGAATCTTTTCTATATTCAGCAAGACACTGGGACTTTGCAATTAACTGGCCATTCCTTAAACAAGCGCGTGTCAGCCAAGTATTTCTTGAAGGTCCTGGTGACAGATTCAAGTAAGAAATACCTGCTGTTATACGCTGGAATAACTCTGTCCACACTGGCATGACTTGTGTTCAGTGTCTAAGGGATGTGGGGAGACAAGGAGGATTCGCTGAAAAGGCAGTAGCACTGAGAGCTGTCTTGCTCTGGCATGGTACTTGCACTGTTCTTGACATGCAGGGAGATTAATCATGATTCATAATGCAAGCATGGAAGGGAACCAGCTCTAGGACAGAGTGTGGCTAAATTGGGAAGCTTGTTAACAAGTACTTCAAAAAGAGATTTCCTTCCACAGGGGGAAAAAATGAAGAGATCATGATTGCGGTTTTCCCCCAGGTCTTTCAAAGGCACTTAACTGAAAAAAATATCAAGAAATTAAACACAGCTGCTCAGACAGTACAGATAATATTTTAAAACATTAAGAGAATATTAAGCTGGAATTAAACTTCAAAAATTATTTTGTTCCTTATGTAAATTGTCATGAGTCCTTTGTGATTTACTAAATGGAAAGGAAATCAAACTTCATACCAAAGCTTAAAGCTTTGTGCTTGAATCCCTAGAGTCAGGGAAAACATGTGCATGAAGGAACTAGCATGTAAAGATGTCTATAAATGAAATAGCATCATTTTGGCAGATGATGGAAAACCTTCCAGAGAGAGGAAGCTGGTGATTTGTCTTGGATACTTATTTGAATTCCATCCAAACAATGTTGTTTAGAATTTTCCTTAGCTTTCAGCTCACGAGGCATGTTCGTAAAACACTAAAATCCATCTATATATGGATATATTATGCTTTTAAATCACAACCTGCCATTGCTTTGGGTGCCCCTGCTCAGGTAGTGATTAAATTTACATTAATCTGAAGTTGGCTTGTAGCAAAACTGGGAGGCCTGCCTGACGACCAAGAGGACAAGAGAGCATTTTTAAACCAGGGCTTGCTATTTGACATGGAAAAGTGATACTGAGATGGCTAACACAATTCATAGCTATCATCATCCTGGTAAATAGATATGTTTTTAAAAGTGAGGAAAATTAAAGAGGATGGGACAGTACTGGAGAAATTGGGAAGAGCAATGGTAAAATAGAGAGTGAGGTTGTCATTGACTAAGAGATATCTGAGATAAGTGCTTCTCTCAACTTACTGCTTAGATTGGGCAATTTGGCAATGCTCACTTTTGCTCACAGTGAACCCTTCTGGAGGAGAGGTTTTTTTTGGCAGAAAGGCTGGTGTGACGTTGTTTGTCTCTTTCCATGCAGAATTCAAAACAATCTGTGATGTGGAAGTACATGTCATTGACATCAATGATCAAATTCCCATCTTTAAAAATTCAGATGTGAGTATTTTTAACACCATTTTGGATGTTCCAATAACTTTTGACAAGTGTTTGAGCATACCTTCAATGTCTATTGGATGTCAGCAAGAAACTAGCCATTTACAGAACAAGTAACAGAGTAACTATTAGTAAAAATAAAGTAAAATATTGTTGCAAGTCTGCATATAAACTCTATCTAGACAGTAAGCAATGGGACAGACTAACAGCTAATTATGAAATTAAGGTGATTTGCTCAGTGGAAAACTCTATACAGAAATACATTTTTCTATTAAAGCAGTTTATTCCAGAAATGTGAGTTCTGAAGGGAAAGGGGAAAGAAAAGGCTTTAAAATTAATCAAACAGCTAAATTGAAAAAAGCTGGCACCTCCCATGTTCCTTTCCAAACACAGCACTAGTGTACCCAAAACAGCCAGAAGGTGAATGGGAATCAAAAGCCCTATGTGGCCAGAAACAGTGGTCCAGTGATCCCTGCCCAAACCTGATTCCAGGATGGGTGTCAGGCTCTTGCCTTTTCTCTGGAGATGCTGGCATCTGACAGAGACCTGCAGACATTTCATGATTTCTGCCTGATGGCCCAAGCCTCCTGGCACACGCTGGAGTGGCTGAAGTACGTACACAGAGGTGTCCCAGCTCCTAGCACTCCTGCATGCCATGTAGGTGGTGAGCTCAGGAGAGCTGTCTGGCCTGTTGGGCACAGTTGTCCTTTCAGGGAAGCTGTGCTGGTTTTTGGGCCTTGTAGACTGCATTGCCCAGCTCTCTGTTGATGGCAATTGCAGTGCAGTATCATGCAGAAAAGGTGCCTGCAGAGCAGGTTTTACACTGTCTCTCCCCAAGGTCTTGGCCCAGGACCTGGTCTCAAGGTGAGGCTTCTGGGGCAAGGCCACACATTAAAGAGTCAGATGCCAATGTAGCAACAACCTATGGTGCATGAAGCAATTAAATATTTAACAATGAGTGGCCAGGGCACTCACAGGATACAGAGAAGCTGTATTATTCCTTCTGCATGCTCATGGGCTGGTTTTCGCAGAGGAGCTAAAGATTTGGGGCTGGTGCTGCACCAGTGGCACTGACATAGATCCCATCACCTACGAGAAATATGTGTCTAAAAAGCTTAAAAGCTTCCCTCTTTTGTGTGGCTGCTGTGGCTTGAAATATATCCACGCATGTGGGTCACAAGTTTGTGGGTGTGCTGAAATTCTTATCCACAAATGGTATGTCATGTTTCAATGACACGTCTCTCTCTCCAGTATGGCAGTGTGGCTGTGGCAGAAGATATCTCAATAGGAAGTGTGATATTAGAAATTGAAGCAACTGATGGAGATGAGCCTGCCACAGGGAGCTCCCTCATCATTTACCAAGTGAAGGAAGGTGATCCAAACAACACGTTCATCATAGAGACAGACTCTGAAACAAATCGAGGGTTCATCAGGATAAACAAGGTGAATAGATAGATTTTATTCTCCTTTAGTGTTACTTATTTGTCATACACAGTTACTGCCCTGGTAATGATTTGCGGGGAAGTTGTTGACTGGTGGGGGGGTGGGGATGCCCTAAGCATGGTGCAGACTGCGGGAGGCTCCACTTCTGGACTCAGACTCTGTGCCTGTGCAGTGCTCACACACACCTATCCTCCTGCCTTTGCTGTGCCCTCACCACCAGCAGCAGCTCCCTCCATTGGCTCTGCATCTGGCTGCTTCTCCAGAAGAGCAGGCTCTGGCCAATGAAGTAGGTCTTTATGCACCATTATGACAAAAAAATGACACTATTTGCGTGATTTTGCAGCAGCATTTCTGGGCAAGAGAAAGCCACCTAATGCTTCCATGGGGTGTGGTGGTAGTGATGGGCTATGACACGGCAGATTCTCCTCCCTGCAGCTGCTCTGGCCATTAATGGCCTTTGCAAAGCAAGGTGCAAATGTAGCCAGCATGTCTCAATATCAGCATGGAGATGCAGTTTGTTCCTGATGAGGGGAGCACTAACTGTGACCAAGCCAAGGACAGCATGTGCTGCAGTAGGTGATACAGCCCATATGCTGAATGCTGGAGACAGGAATATAAGGAACACTATTTGCTGCGTCCATGAATTTCAATAGCAAAATTGCTCTCCCTTTGAAATGAGCCTTGGACTATGGGTCCAGGAAACTATCACTCATTTTCCAAGGGGTGCCACAGTGTGTGTCTCCAGCTTGTGTGCTGCCACCAGGCCAAGTGCAGGCAGAGGCAGCGTTTGGTGAACTGTCCTCAGCATCAGCCTCAGCCTCATTTTTTCCCAAGGAGGCACTTGTGAGAAACTCTGTGGTGTAACAACCCTCGCATGACTTTTGGCACCCGGAGGTCATTTGAGGCCTTCTCATACAGAGCTATAAATACTATTTCTGTAAACAGGATATTATTATTAAACTTAGTTGGGCAGGTGGCAACATTATTAGAAAATGCAGTTGCTGAGGAGGCCTCTAAACAGGCATATGGTTTCATTTAAATGGAACATTCCCAGTGTAATTTTTTCCTGACAGATCTCTTTTATTTTGCCTGTGTTGGGGATGCAATCTCCTCCTTGAGAAGAAGGGGATTTTTTAGTTTCTCATTGGAGCTCCCCACAGCAGCAGGGCCATTGATTCAATAACCTTTTTTTTTCTAATTCATCCAGGCTCTTGATTTTGAAACAATGCCTGTGTACAACCTGGTAATCAATGCCACAAATCCTGAACCGCTGGTGGAAGGCGTTCAGTACAACTCAAGCTCTCTTACTGTGTTAAGAGTTTTTGTGACAAATGTGGATGAGCCACCTGCTTTCCGGAAGCCACTTTACAGAACAGAGGTGTCTGAAGACATTCCTGTCAATACCTTGGTCATGATGGTGGAGGCCTATGATCCTGAAGGGGATTCTGTACGGTAAAAAAGAGTGACTGTGATTAGTTAATTGAATTTAGGCTTTCAAAAGTTTTTTTAAGGGAAGTGCAAGGAAAATATGCCCAATACTTGGCATGTGGAAAAATACTGTTTTTACAGAAGTCTTACCTCCTAGTAGAAGGTGGACCTGTGGTGGGGTGGGGGCCAGTGACCCACCTGTAGCAGACTGCTGGGTAATACTTTTCTGACCAGATTTCTGTCTGTGCTGTGAACATTAAACATCAGCCTTGAAAGAGGAAACCACAAGGGAAACAGGCTAATTTATATCTCTAGGAAAAAGGTGGAGCTGGACTAAGAATAACAAGGTTCCATGTCCATAATGCCTTTATCAAAAGAATGAAGCATATACTGTGTACCCCTGAACTGGTAGGAGAGTAGCTGCTTTTCATGTCACACAGGAAACCACCACCTAATCACAACCTCAACTTTTTCTCCACCAAAATACACAGCCTCAAGTCTACAATTTAAAGATAACACATTTTCTTTCCTAGCTGTCAGAGATGACACATCTCTTTCTATTGTGGATGCAAAGCTCTGTGCAAGACAACTCCTGTGCTGTGTTGCATGGTATAAATGTAACTTACACAGTAGAGTCAGATAGAGTTATTTGTGACTTTTGCTGTATAATTCCCAGCTGGTGTGCTGAACAGATCAACTGAAAATAAACAGTTCTTGAAATTTAACTAAAATTCAGCAAAACAAAACAAAACAAAACAAAACAAAAAAAAAAAAAAGTGGTTAATGGAGTTGCACAATGTGACTCTTAGGCCTCCTGTGGGTTCTTATTCCCAGAGATTTCTCATCTGGCTTTCTACTTGTCCCTAACTTTTGGGAACTTATCATGTTTGGCCTTCTGTCAAACTAGTTTGAAAGTGATCCACATAGTCCAGAAGCTCTGGGGGATGATGACAGAGTCACATGACAGGAATTTAGATATACATAAACCTCATTTCTGCTAAAAATAGGTTAAAAGGCATAAAACAAAAAGTATAAAAAGTAGAAGATGTACAAGCATACTGTTTCTAGTGTAAAGGGCACTGAAAGAACAAAAACATGGAATGAGAAGATTTGGTCACTTCCACTCAAGCAAGTGCTTTAACTGGGTCATATATTCATGATTAAATTTGTATAAGTAAATACCCAGGGACCTGGGTTTAAACTGGATTTTTTAAACAATTATATAAATGCAATTATGTGGTGATGCTTAAAGCATTCCCTGTTCCAAGGCTGCCCATTGGTAGTTACAGGCTGCTCCAGACTGGCAAAAGATAATCACCGTAGTTCACCTTGGGATCCTGGTCCCCTCTTGATCCACAATAGGGTACCTGTGCCCCCCAGCCCTTGGCTTGTGCTCCCATCAAAACCAAGATGTGGGAGATGTAATGGGGTGAGACAGACATGGGGTTTGGACAAATCACACTTCTGGACTAAAAGCTCAGTGCCATCCCAGGCTCCCCATTTAGAAGTGGAATTGCAAGCACACAGGCTGCAGTAGAGATGGCATTTCTGTAGTTCTGCTCTCACTCTTATTCAGGATGACTTTGGTCTTCCTCTGTCTGTGTCTCCTGGTTGTAGTATTATGGTACTGTGACTCTTCCAAGAGCCCTTTCATTGAGTACAATTGTAATCAAGCTTTTACATAAAGTCAACAAAGAAATATTTGCTTTGTCAGAATTTTTTCCCAATTTGGAACAGTATATATGGTTTTTTCTCCCCCCCTATTTATTTCCAAAGATACTCCTTGGAAGGTGATGTGAGAAAATGGCTGAGAATTGATTCAGTCACCGGGCAGGTATACACTGCTTCCCCTCTGGATCGAGAAACTGAAGAAATATACTCAGTAGAGGTCGTTGTATCAGAGCTAAGTAAGTGATGAAACAACTAAATATACACACAGAGGAATCCCCTGTCCTTACTCTTTTATGAGGAATTATCATACCTACTAATGATACCTACTAAACTTACTGTTTAATACCTACTAAACCCATGAAAATTACTGGAACATGTAATCTCAGATATACAACCTGTGGTGTATCCTTAGAAGTATATATTTCTTAAGAATTTAAATTTCTTGCAGAAATCTTGATGCTGTTGATAAAAAGGATTAAGATAGCTTTCATGAAGTTGGGTATGGTCTTATATTTGCTTGAATCACATGACATATAGAGAAGATTCAATATTTTTCACTGTTTTCAGTATTAATATTTTCTGCCACTTTTTTCTCTATAGCTATGAAGATTGTAGTCTTCCTCCTAGGTATGGTTAGGCTTCCTGAAAACATACCCAGAGAGTAGTTTGCAACCTTCTACAGAATTTCATTTTATTTTGTAATTAAAACTAATACTCTGTGAGGTCTGAAATATATTAGGACTTCTAGTTCTAGCCATTAAAATCCTGCATATAGAAGAGGGATGAGAAACTCAAGGCATTTCATGCTTAAGAGTGTTCCAAAGAGCACTGGTCACTGTGGATGTGACTGCTTGCCAGACATGATGGAAATGACAGACTACTAGATATGATCTGCCTCCTTTCCCTTGCTAGTGCTCTGTAGCTAGCAAGAGCTGGTGGTAGATAAACAGTGCTTGTTAAAAAGAAGTGGCAGCTACCAGAAATCCCTCAGGACGTCCTGAGACCTTATTTCTGCCATCTTTAGACAGAACACCACCTTTACTGCCTATCTGATTGTGTACCTCTGTGATAGCTGCAAATGAAACAGCCCAGAGCGCAAATCCAAGAGGTGCATGTAACTTTGCATTCTCTTCAAATCAACAGATAATGCAGCTCAGAAATCCAAAGTGTTCTTGATTCTACACTTACGTGATGTGAACGACAACTATCCACAAATAGCTACGGATTATCCTACTTTCTTCTGCTACCCAGTCAGTGGAGGAGAGAGAACTCTCATTCAAGCTACTGATGCTGATGAACAGTTTTTTTATTCAAAATTTACATTTTCCCTTGCGGATGAGATGAATGCAAGAAATAATTGGGAAATCTCAAAATTCAATGGTAAGCTAATTCAGCCGTTCTTACAATGGTATGGGACTCACTTGATACTCTGGTGAATATGAAGAATTACAGAATTCCTTTTCAGTATTATTATTGCATAACCAGTGTTCCATGTAGAAAAAAAAATGGGTTGTTGAGAATGCCAAAGTCATTAAGGATTTTTTGCAAGAGGTAAAACCTAGTATGTTGCAAGCTATAATTTCATGAATATTTTTGAGAGAAAAAGCATGTAAGTATGAAATATATATGTGTTTAATGAATACAAATCACTGCCGGAAAAGAAATAGAGCAGTTTGCAAACTGTACATTTCTGACATTTCATGTGCAAAAGGAAGTCTTGCCTCACAAAGAGAATGGAGCTTTTTGAAGGGGACAGTAAGCACATGAATAAGTGCTTGGCTGATAGAGCCTGTCTGAATTAATAAAACATGTTTGGTGAATTGTCCCACTAGAGAAAGCTAGGTTGCCATAAATTTAAAGTTATGAAAGAATAAATAATAATTTAAAATTCAGGACTTGGAGTAAACAGTCAGCTCTTGCAGTAAAGGGAGTTCAAGTGCGGTTTTCCAAAGGTTTTTTGCTGGGATCTGCATAACTCAATATATATGGATGTGCAATGAGGAGGCAAAGTTTACTCATTATACAAAGTTATTTGAGTAGGAACCAAGTGTGAAGAACTTCAGAACATTCTTCCAAGACTGATCTGGTTGAACAATAAAATTCACAGGTGCTAGTGAACCCTGGACTCCTAAATTCACTTTTGAAATCATGGGTGCTGAGCTGGCCATTATGAATCAGGAAGGAGAACTGTAAGCAGTTCCATGGAAATGTGAGATCAGCAGTATTCAGAAAACCAGGTCAAATATTGAGGATTACTAGGAAACAACCAGACAAGAAACCTGAGGACATCGTTATGACTCTGTATATATCATTTCTTCAAGCTTTGAACTCCAGTCTATCTCTGTCATAAAAATGCAGTATAACTGGAAACAGGTTTAGATAGGGTAACAAAGATAATCAGAGTTATAGAATGGCCTGATATAAGGAAGTGTATAGAAGCAGCAAAGTAAGCTACTACTTCTATTCCTGGAAGCCAGTAGGGTAAAAATGCAATAGAGAGATATAAAATTATGAATGCTATGGTCAGAGTTGCCAAAGGTTCATCCTTTGCTCTCTCATCCAGTGCACAAATCTGGGACCCTCAAGTGAAGCTTATGGAGTTATTTACAGTGCAGATAGAATGAGGAGGTATCTGACTTGGGAACTTGATGTCTCAGGGTGTTGTCTATGCAGAAATTTTCTACAAGTTCAAAGCAAGAAATTACATCTTGCTCAAGAAGTCCCTGAGCTGAAAATGTTTACAGGGTGAGAGGGAGGAGGAAATAAAATACGTGCTTGCTTTTTCATCATAATCTCCTTTTATTCTGGAGACAAGATACTTATATCAACAGACCTTTGATCTGATCCCAATGGCTATTAGTACCTTTTGCAGTTCTTAAAGAGTCTTAGATGTGATAGGGTAAGTTCACTAGAAGGATGGTCTGTCCTGCATTTCCTTAGGAACAATTTAAGCTGATTATAGTCTCTGTGAGTATAGGAGACTATTCTTGGTCTAGATGGGATGCTATCAGTGTAGCACTACCCGATCAGATTCGGCCTGGTGTAGAAATTAGGAAGGAAATTTTATAGTCATATTATGCTGAAGATATTCCCTTTTTACTTAATGTCTGCAAACCAATGAGATCCTGGACGACATTGAGGAAAACAGGAATTACTATCATGTGCAAAGCAGCCTTAAAAAAAAAAAAGAACTCTTGCAGCTGGTATGAATGTTGAACTAACTTTCTTTCTTGTGCTGACATGAATGTCCCATTTCCTACTTACAGCTACTCATGCTTACCTGTCCCTGAAGCATGCTAACTTTGAAGAGAAGGTGTATGATGTTCCAATAATACTTAATGACAATGGAAAACCGCCTTTGGAAAACAAAGTGAATCTTAAAGGTATTCTGTGCACAGAACTATTAGCTTAAAGACAGCAGTTACATTTATAAATAACCAAATGTGACTACTAAACTTCTCATTAACCTCATGACATTTCCTTTTGCAGTAAGCATCTGCAAATGTTCCAGTGAAAATTCATGTTTTATCGACATAGACCGTGAGCACTCCTGGCCAACTGTTGGGCAGGCAATTGGGATTCTACTTGGGGTCCTGATCATCATTGGTAAGTCACTTCTTCCTGCTTGATTTGAAGCCAGATCTCTGAGCTATGATGGTGCTGCTGCATTTTTGACATGAATTCACTTGTTGGGTGAATATTTATCAAGCATGTTGCAGAATGAGTGAAAGAGGAGAGATCCCATGATTATGTGTGATGATGGCTGCAAATGTCTAAGTTTTTGGTTGTAAGAAAAACATCCAACGGCACAACAACCAACTAGGACAGAATAAATTCCTGAACTTGTAGCATATTGTCATTTCATTGCTACTTACTGCCCTTTGCCTGTCAGGGAAGGGACTTGAGTTTGTCTTAGGCATCCAGATTATAGTGAAAATAATGAAGCTTCCTACTTATGGTATCTGTACCTGTAGCTTATAGTTACCATTTTATTCACCTATTTCAGCTTTGCAGGTTTGCATCTTTCATATTCATTCTAACAGTGATAAAGAGAAAATAAACTTTATATAGAGTATAATGAGCTCATCATTATTTTAAAAGATTAAATTATGCATTTTATATATATATATATATAATATAAATGAGGGACTGCATCTCAACACAAGCATGACAAATTCCTGCTCAGAGGGAGGAAGGGAGGAGGGGCTAAATTAGACACTTTGCCATTTGGTCAGACCCTAGAGGAAAAATTTTCCTTTGAGGAAAGGCCTTTGAGGCGCAAGATATCTGATCCTGCCCAGCACTGCCTTGGGTCCATGCTCTTGGTCCCATGCTGCGTGGTCCTTCCTCAAAGCTGCTCCAGTTCAAGAGGTAAAGCACTGTGGATTATGGGGCAGTGTCATGGCCCTTGCTGGAACATCCTTTCAGAAAGTTTACTCTTCCCTTTACACACAAACACTCTCTGTTTTTCAGGTGTCATTGTAGCGGGTGCGTTTTGCCACATGAGATACAAAGAGAAAAATGAAAAGAGTAATCCCAAAGATGCAAAAGATGATGCTGAACTCAACAGACTGGCTTAATGACTGTTTCATCAAGAGACAAAACTGCCCTTTGGGCTGTGAATGAGTGAACTGGGAAGCTTCCAAAGCCCACAGATGTACTATCACAAAAAAGTAGACTTTTGTGCATCATACTATTTAATCACAAAACATAAAACATCTGTAACCTTCAGTAGCAGCCATTAATAAGCTTATCAGCTTTGACTAAAGTGTTAACTCATGACAACACCAAATGCTGAGCCCCTTCAGGGATCTATACATGGGACCAGTCTCCTTCATCTGACAGCTGAAGTAAATACGGACTTTACAGAGGACAACATTTTATCGACCTGTGCATATTTGTCTCTTTCCAACTCAGTAAGTCATTGAACAGCAGACTGGGGAATAGTCCTGTACTACATTTGAAGATACCCCATGAAGTTGTAGGAATCTCTCTGACTCTCAGCAAAGGAGATCTGAAATTTATTGTAATCTGCAATTTGCCCTGGGTTGTGCCTGCTTACATTATACTGAATTTGTACTATCAATGTGACATTTCAATTTTTCTTTTTTTGATATCCCATAGAGTAAAAGAAGTTTGTGAAGCACCATGGCCTTTCATTACAGTTTCCAAGTTAAAAAAAGACTATGTGAGTCATGTAGGTAATATGCTGCTTTATCATACTGCTGCAAATATTGCTCTTGCCCCCTACACATAAGAATAAAAATGTTTGTTAAAGATTTTAGCCCCTGCATATTTTATAAAATAAATAAAAAATGTGAGAGTGCATGAGAGCATTGCTGCTTGGTTCTCTATTGTATTTAACCCTTACTTTCACCTAATACAGATTAAAAATAGCTCTTAGGCCATAGTGATGTATGTCCAGCTGATTCCACATGCAATGATTGCTGGAGCCATGTCTATCATAGTTACAGTAAAATGTATTTGAACCCAGGGTTACACTCAGAGAAAAAAGCCTTTCTCCTGACAGCATGCCTATAGAAGGGCATTTTTGGTGACAGTTAGAGGAAGGCTTTTCTTTTAAGCTATAAATAAAACCTGACAAATATTGTGTTAAACAGAAAAGACAATATACTTTTGAAAACATTCAAGAAAAGGTCATATGGAAAAGAGCATATTTGTTTACCCAGGATTTTTAATGGCTTTTGCATGCAGCACAGAACTAGAAAGAAAAGAGCACTTTTTTGGTAGCATTGCATTTATAATAGCTTTTCCTAGAATGCTGCCAGAAAAAACTTTGCTATTGGGCTTCAGCAACACAACCCAATTGTTGTACTTCTTGCCCCAGCTTCCCCAGCTGTTGGAGCTCTGTTATTTGCCGGGGGGCTCACTGCTGGAATGTATTTATTTTATGATGGGAATGTAATCCATTATATTTGGAAAGTATGACATTCAGTTACGTCAGCATGTCCAGGGATTAAGATTAGTATATTGTTTTATAAATAAAGGAGCCAAAGATCAGCAGTCGTTGTACTTGTGTATACCAACACGGCTTTATCTGAAGCCGGGGAAAATGTGCACAAGTTCCCCTTTGCTCTATCTCCCTGACCTCTCTTTGTGTTTGCTAAGTTTACTCAAGTGCATCTCCTATTTTGAATAATTCCTTTTCTAGAGAAGGGTCAAAAAATTTCTTTCCTCATTTACCTACATTCAGGACTGGTTTGACAGCAGGACCTTGTTCCTGTCCCCAACCTAACATTTCCTCTGTTTCTTGTGTCTCATGGGGTAATTCATTGCACCCTCTCCCACCTGCCCACAGACTGGTGGAAAGCAGAGCTCCTCAGACCAGCAAAAAAAGTTCCCCCTCCTCAGAGTCTTAAAGACATTTTCAGTCTTGAAGACTTTCAGTCTCAATGCATTGGGAATCAGCCCTCCTGCAGGTATTTACTAAATGTTGTTCACATGTGGTAGAAGAGTCTGCAGGAAATCCCCTTGGGGTGTTCCTTCTCCGGCATCTGCCCTGGGGTGACATCCTGGGCTGAGCACACTTGTGCTGCAATGGGCCCTTGAGAGCCCACGCCTCTGCCTGCACCGGGGCACAGGCAGGGCCTGCAGCCCCCTGACTGCCTCACCCCACCTCTGCCCCCTTCCCCAGCCCCTTGCCAAAATCCCCCTGTGCTCAAGGGACTTGGGATGCAGAGGCATACCCAAGCAGTTCAGCTGCTGGCTGACCTGTGCCTGGGCAACCACTGCTTCTTAGTGCTCCTTGTACCGTTCAAACTTAAATGAAATTTAACAAACAAACAAACAAACAAACAAGCAAACAAAAACCCCACAAACCCTGTCATTTCCAACCCTCACACAAATATTTTCTTTTTTTTCACTCTCCTCCTGCCTGCCTGCCAGGACTTCTCCTCCAACCCTCCAGGGTTTATTTATCCTACTCTGGCTCCTTCATTGGTTCAGTCTTTTTGGGAGCCAGACAAAAGTTCTCACCCAGCCTTAACTCTCCCCCTGTGGCAGACTGCTACCCCTGGCCTCCTTTCCAGAGGACAAATTCAGTTTTCTTTGGGTCTCTGGAGAGGAAGAGAAGCAATACTTATTATTATTCCTTTCCATCATGCTTCCCACCAGCTGGTTCCCAGATCCTTGCAAGAGTGGCAGATATTAGGACATTTTTCCCTTGTATGCTACACTTTTGCTCTGAGTTCAAGGATGAGCACTTCTTTTTCAGCTCCTCAAAATCTGGACAATTTCTGTTAGTCACTGCATCTTCCAAAGTTGTTTAATTGACAGTTACTGGTAATAACTGACAACACATAAACTGCACTTTACATATAAAAGTGCAAAGCTATAGACAGCTTTGAAACAATAATTTTCTACAAATTTCAAAACCAAAACAAAGCAAAAAAAGCTCCCTGAAGCTGGCCACATCATTATTACTTTTAAAACACCTTGGAAATATTGTCTTCTATTAATTTTTTTTCCTTGGAAAATACATATTGTATACTGGCATGATTATCACACCTGCAGGACTAACCAGAAAGTAATTAGTAAAAGCTGAAGCAGTGCTTTAAATATATGATACTTACAAGAAAAGGGAAGAGATGCAAAAGTTCTCCTGATTTATATCCACAAATTCTTAGAATAGCTTTATACATTGATTGGAGGACAAATTTTAAAAACAACATTGATGACTTTGAACTCCAGTTTTGCCAAGAATAATATCACACAAGAAGTCTAGTGATGAAATCTGCTGAGAATATGTCCTTGGCACTGCTCCTTTCCATGGCTCCTCCTCCAAGCATGTAGCATCTCATTAAAAGGTTTACAGATCGCAAAAGATGTTTCAGTGCTTTCTAATTCTTTTTTACAAGATTAGAGACTTATCAGGCTTTTGATTATCTCCAGGATTAATGGCATACATTAATTAAACTGTCATTATGCCTCTTTTTCCACCCTTTGTAAATATAAACTTGAAAAGTAAGAACAAGATTTTTATCTGTGTTTATAGAACAAATGCCACAGAACAGCAGCTTTGCGGGGGTGTTGGGGGGGGAACGTGTCCTGAATGCACGTTTTGGAGGAGAGCTCCTCAGCGCTCACAGGATCGACTGTGCGAGGCTGTACACACCACGTGTAGCTCTGGGAAAAAGGTGGCATGGCATGGGTGGGCAGGGTTGTGTGCCAGCTGGGGTGGCTGTGCCAGGCAGCTGCCTGGAGCCACCAGCACGTGTAGGGGGACAGACTCCCCCCGCATCTGGGGAATGCAGAGAGATGTGTTTTCACCCAAAAAATGGCTCTGCAGTGAGCTGTGCTGTTGGGGTAAGCAAGCACCACCATATGGAGGAGCAGAGAGGAAATTGGGGTGGGATTAGGAAGCTGGCTGATAAAGAGCATCTAGTTTTGGCTGAAAGTACATGAATCCTCTCCCATTCCCTCTGTGTAGCATCTAATCCTAAATGCAACTCTCTAGGAGTCTGAGAAGACTTTATTTTAAAATAAAGAAGCACATTTATTCTCAGTGTTATTTTCCATAGATTTGCCAGAACTAGGAGCTGCAATTAGCTAACTGCTTATACAAACTAGGGCAAGGAGCAGATGTAATCCACAGAGTCACCACTGCTTCTAAACACCAGAGATTTTGCACTGTCTTTAAATGGGATTCCAATGACATTCACCCTCTTAGAGAAGTTCTCCTTCCCCCTTGATTGACTTTAGGTCTTGAACAGAGGACTCAGAAATCTGCTGCTTCAATTGCCAGAAAAAGTCCCAGAGCTACAAGTCTGTGCCACAGCAAGGGACCATCCTTTCAGCTTAAAATATTCTGTGATTCGGTGATCCTCTGTGGACAGAGCTCAGAAAAATGAAGCACCACAGGCTGTGACCAAAGGGTTACAATGATGTACATGAGCATCCATTAGTGCAGTAAAATACCACAGAAACATTCAGCAAGATGAGCAGTATGATCGTGCTAAGGACCCTAAGCCAGGAAAAATGCTTCCAGTTTTTTGATTGCGTATTCCAAAAGAAAAACAGAAGATTAGAGGCAAACCAGCAGCAGCTCTTTGAACTCGTTGCTGGACAGCATGTTCCTCCACTGATAGTGAAAGACTGTACAGTACAAGGAGACAAAAACTGCTTGAGCCTGTTCTGTTTACAGCTTTGGGGCCAGAGAAGGGTGATGGGTACAGCTGCAAAAAGATAGTCTGCCACAGATGAGCTCAAGGGGAAGAAGTGTCTTGTGTTTGCAGCTAAGAAGATGACAACTTTTATTGCCCACTTACGTCTGGTTATGACATCAGTATAAAAAGTGGGGGTTAAGTAAGTACCCTCGCACCATTCCTGAATCATTCCATAATGCTGAATATGGTCAAGAAATGTGTTTCTACAGCCTCCTTTTCCAGTTCACTATTCCTCAGGACTAACATTAATGTAAAAATCCTCTAAGGGAGGTGTAGATCTAGCACATGATTCCTGGCTCTCAGAAGTGAGCAGAAAGAAGGTGGGATATGGAGACATGGGGAGATCCCTCTGGTGCATGAATCCCATCACCAAGTGGAAAGAGCTGCAGTCCAGTGCCGGCAGCCAACAAAGGAACACACCTCCTGTTGTTTGTCCACCTGTCAGAAACAGCCTCTTTAAAGATTTCACACCCTGAGGCCT